AAGTAAGTTCAAATTCTCATTGCCTGGCCTCCTGAAGCCATTTTGCTACATTTGTTCACGGGCTTTTCAGAAGGTCGATATTTCAATCATGGAGTTCCATCTTTCTTTAATAACTCAACAAACTTCTACACAAAACACAGCTGTATCCAGACTAAACATACTCTCATATTTAAAGAGCCCAGTTAGTAGTTTCTGGGGTGATAATTCACTCAGACAGGCGGCATTTCATTGGGATACTCAGCAAATAATTATAGCTACCAGGCTATGTGAGGCCCCGTGTGATGATGTACATAAACACACTTCCTTCTTTGAAGACATGCACATTAGGGTGTCTGCCCTCAGGACATGCTCCACAGAGAGAATCCAGGTTACTACACTGGGTCCCATGGACTCTGCAGGCCAGTTCATCCTACCTCTCCAAGCAGTGAAGGCCAAGAGACAACTCCACAGCCACTAGGCCTCTCCTCTCTCCTTGCTCCAGTCTTTTGCCTCTTGACTGGCTAATTATTTATAGCTTCTTCCTCTACTCCCCTCATCCTCAAAAACCTTGACCTCTTCCTCCTCAGAAACAGCTCCATTCTTTAAACCGCATGGTCTCCTTGGGAAACTCCCAACTTTAAGTATTTCAAAGGTTGCCGGGCGGTGGTGGCACACGCCTTTAATCCCAGCACTCGGGAGGCAGAGGCAGGCGGATCTCTGTGAGTTCGAGGCCAGCCTGGGCTACCAAGTGAGTTCCAGGAAAGGCACAAAGCTACACAAGAGAAACCCTGTCTCAGAAAACAAAAAAAAAAAAAAAAAAAAAAAAGTATTTCAAAGGTGTACACTCAGCCTCGCACCTTTAATCCCAGCACTCAGGAGGCAGAGGCAGGCGAGTCTCTGTGAATTCGAGGCCAGCCTAGAACACTAAGGTGAGTCCGAGTTAGTAACTTACAAAATGAGTTCCAGGACAGGCAAGGCCTTTACTGTCTTGGAAAAAGGAAGTAATGAATTAAGGTATGCCCTCTTCAAATGATATGACTCTTCCTTACATTTTCCAAATGCATTCTGACCAAGACAGAAGACCTGACCTTACCACCAGAGCCGACGTCTGCCCCAGTTCCCTGTTTCCGTTCAGGATGCCTTCAGGCCCACTGTGAAGGGACCGTCCTGAGAAGTGCTCCATTCTTTTTTCTCAACATCCTCATCCACCACCCACACACGGATGCAGGTCCCGCCTCTCCACCATCATCAACACCACCTCAATTCAAGCACTGATTCTTTCTCCCTGAACACCCCAAAGTTTCTCTGTGTGGTTTCTTAGACCCTCTCCAACGGGCCTTAAATGATGCTACTACATTATTTTTTGGATGGAGGGTGTATATCCTCTGGAACTAGATGGTCTGTTTTCAAACTCCAGCTCTATCACTGATTTCTTTGGCACTGGACACAGTACCCAACCTCAGTCCCCTTAGGCATCACTGTGTCAAAGGATGGGCAGCATCACTTGCTTCATGAAATTGCATGGAATTGTGGGGAAGTGTGAATTTTATAGTCACAGAACACCTAGAAAAGCATCTGGCCCAGAGGGTGGTGCTCTGTAAAAGTCTGCCATTGTTTGCAATCAGCATGCATCCAGCCATGCCATCTCTGCCCCAGAGCCCCTCGAAGAGTCTCAAGGCAGCAGGCCAGGGTGACTGCAGGTTCCTCACTCTGGCATTCAGTCTGTCCCCAACTGACCTCTCGGTGTCATATTCCACACCTCCCCCATGTGACCTGTATATACACCAGACAAAGGGAAGGGCTTACTATGCCCTGAACACGCTTCCTGAATCTCCCTCCTGTTCCTCACTTTCCTTGCCTCTCACACCCATATCCAAAAAGCAAACCTGTCCATCCTTCAGGCCAATCTTAACATCCCCACGGAGGCTTTTATGAACATGTCCTCTGGACACGTCTCCACCTTCCTCAAGTACTTCCTAGTACCAAGGTGAGGTTTCTCCTACGGCAGGTACCTTTCTTTGTTCCCTTTCACTGCAGTCCCCCTAGTCACCCACCTCACCAGTTTGGAGCGCCTTGAAACCCTGAGAGAAACATCAGAAACATCCATGTTCATCATGTTACTCTCTGGACCATCAAGGACAGCATGATATGCTGGGATAGCGAAAAGATGGATGCGTGCAGGCAATCAGGACCATAGTCACTACTGTGGCATGGTATGGCACACCACACTAGGGGAAGTACATGCCATGTCCAAGTTGAGTATCATTTCTTGTCTCACTCTATAGCCCAAGCTGGCTTGGAAGTCACTACAGAACTCGGACTCACCTCCAACTCCAAGCAATCCTCCTGCCTCAGTCCCTCAAGTAATTTACACATATAAGCCACCACACACAGCTCCTCTCCCCACCCCCACCCCCATCCCCAAGAAATGATTTCACTGTGTAGCTCTAACTGGTCTGGAACTCTCTGTGTAGCCCAGGCTGTCCTCAAACTCACAGAGATCCACCTGCCCCTACCTTAGCTCCCCATGTGCTAGAATTAAAGGGGTGTGCCACCATGCTCAGCCTCTTGTAGCTTCAAGTTCACATCCAAACTCACAAAGTGAACCAGATGGCCTCACCAAGCAAGTCTGTCCTTGGAAGACACCAGGAACACAGTGAAAAAAAAATATATATATATGTGTGTGTGTGTATGTATGTATATATATATATATATACATGTATATATAAATATATATAATTTGTATCCTAAAGTACAAACACTAAAACCACAGAAAGCTTTTCATTATTAGAATCTTTAAAAAGCCATCGTGGACTGTGTTTAGTTGACTAACTGTAATCTTTTGTGAAGTCTACCACCTAGCAATCCCAAGGGAAGTGACTCAGATCTCAATAAATGAAGCTTGTTGAAATGCACATTAATAAACCCTAGCACTTCAGTCACTGCAGAAGTGACCGTAACAGCATACGGACACAGTCCCTACTGCCCTCAGGTCCTCAGCTGACAGAAAGAAAGCCATGGCAGTGCCCAACAATAGAGTGTCCACTCAATAAACACTGATGGTGGTGACATCATCCAGGTGCCCAGGGTCAGGGAACAGGCTGCTGACAACTCTATTCTGTTGAGGAGCTGGGCTGTAATCTGACACCAGGGATCCAGACCTCTTTGCCAGGGCAGCTCTAGGCATTCGTGAACAGCAGTAGCAAAAGGCTCTTTCATTCCTACTCTGCCTTCTGCCATTCAAGAAGCACATCCTCCTCCCAGCACCACTGAGAGAAATGTCCTGAAGATAGCAGTTCCAGGACCCCCCGGGGAAGGAACAATGAAGGATTACTTTCTGTCAGACAAGACAGGTTTTTGAAGGTCCAGAATATTCCCTCTTCAAGGCCCAGTGGCACCCCTAAATCCTGAAGCAGAATTGCCAGTATTCTTTCTAACAGGACCAGTCCTAGAGAGCTCTTTATGGTTCATTGAACTACGCTCATATGGCTGCCCACTTGATTATGACGGCAACAAAGTCAAATTAAATGTCTAAATCAGAGTAGATTGAGGCTGGTCTGAAATACCAGCTCTCATATAAGCCAATCCTGCCTTTCTACTTCTTGCTATCTACTGCTTTCATTGAATGGAAATCATCTCTCCAACTAATGTTTTACTGTGCTTACAATATCCAAATAGCCTTTTCCTTTACATCTATGGGCGGTCACAGAACTCAGTTCCTGGTTCTGATTTTTCACTCTCAGGTCTTAGTCCAGAGGAGCAAGATAGATAGATAGATAGATAGATAGATAGATAGATTTAGGCAGTCCTCTACTACTCAAAGGTTAAAAAAAAATATATCATCAAGTTCGGGCACCTAACTAAAATAACTCAATCACACTGGAAATCTTCCTCAGAGATGCAACTTGGATACAGCTCTGTTCAGTCCTGTGTTCCACTTTCTGAAAACAGGCTGCTCAAACAAAAACATCCTTCCACACAACAGAAGCCTTGTGAACTGCGAAACTTAAGCACCTGTAGTACACACACTGCCCTGTACCCTGTGGGTGCTCCATAAATACCTAGTGACTGATTCACAAGCCAATTACAGGTCTGGCGATGACAGAGTGTATGACTGCCTGGTCCCACTCTAGGGAGTGTGAGGAATCCACAGTTACTGTGGGAGTAGGAAGAATTAATACCCATGAAATTCTAAAAGGACTGCAATGTTGACAGGTCCAAATTATGTCAATTTTGTCTGCACACCTCCCCAAGCCTATGGGCCTTAAAAAAAAAAAAAAGCTAGTAATGCCTCCTGAACCCATGGGAGAAAGTGAATAAACCTGCTTATCAAAGAACCAGCAAGCTAAACAGTTCGGAGGAGTGTGGGGGGAAAAAAAAAAGAGGGAAACTTACTTTTCATAGACCAGCTCCTCGTCGATGGAGAAATAGTGGGTATTTATTGTGCTTTTTGGTCTATTCCTTAAAGTAGCAAAATATAATCGATCTGAAAGACAAGTTTAAGAGACAAAAAAATACATGAGAAGCAGAGACGTGAGGCTGGGAGTTCCGATCATGCATGAAGGATCAATAATTGCTAGACATCATTTAAAGACCCTTGAACACGTGGTATTCTTGTAGAAACACAACCTTCCAGGAAGCAACAGAGCCCCAAAAGCATAACTTGCCAAGAAGCTAGACCGGGACCCAGTAGGGGGCAGAACATCTTCTCTGTTCCCTCACCCCCTGGTTGCGTGCGGGCGGGTGCAGACAAGAGCTGTGGGTACCCGCAAAACTGGAGACACAAGTTTGGTTCGAAAACCTCCAGACCTCAGCTGCAAGAGGAACGGGGAGAGGCGAGCTTCTTTCCCTGCAGCTTAGCAGACTTCAAGAGGAAGGAAGCAAGGACAAGGGGGTGTGGTTGGGGGGGAGGGTGTCCTGAAAGCACAGGCCAGCCACCGAGGGGTAGAGGATTAGCGGATAGATGATTAAACCGAGCAGGATCCCCCAAGAAAGGTTTGGAGGAGGAGCCCCGGCAGAGAAGCCCGCACTGTCCGGGTACGAGGAAGCTGCAGAGGGAGCGAGGAGGCGAGAAAGAAGCCGGAAGCAGGGGGTCCTCCGGGAGCTGAGTGGCGAGAAGGGGCCCCGAGCGCCAAGCAGCAGTGGCTGCGGGACACAGGGCCGAGGAGAAACCCAGGGCAAAGGCTGGGACAAAGGGGAGAGCCGTGAGGAGTTGGGGGGGAGTGGCGTGGAAGGGCCAGAGGATGCCGGGCGACTGCTCCTCACCTTTCATGAACTCACAAGCCCCGATTAGTTCCCCTGTCTCCGCTGCCATCTTAAGCGAGATCCGCACGGGGGAGGGCTGGGTCGCGGCCAGCTGAGGTCACCCGCCCCCGGGGGGCTTCCCCTACTGCCTAGGAGCCGGGAAGCTCGCGGTCCGGATCACCGAGCCCGCCTGAGGGAGAAGGCGGGCGCCCAAGGCGGAGGCGGCTGCAGGGTCAGCGCGCGGGGCGCCCCGGGGACATTCCGTGGGGAACTGAGCCCGCTGGGCGCGGGACGCACACGCCCCAGGCTGTAGCCGCTGCGGCGATCCGGACTCTGTGGCGGCGGCGGTGGCGGCTGCGGCTGCTGCTGCTGCTGCTGCTCCAGCTGCAGCTCCTGCTGCTCGAGCTGCTGCTGCTGCTGCTGCTGCTGTACCGTCTCCGCCAAGCCTGGGCAACGCACACCAGCTCGCACAGCCGGGCAAAGTCTTCGCCCGGCTCCCAAAGTGATCATGGAGGACGAGACGTTTGGCCCGGATCGCGCCCGTGGCCACTTGTGCGGCGGCAGCGGGCAGGACTCCGGTGGTGCCCGCGGGGCTGGCAGCAGCTGCTCTGACTCCTCCTTCGCCACCTCCTTTCAGCAGCAACTCTTCCTCCCTCTCCTCCTCCTCCTCCTCTTCTTAGGTCCGCCCCCAGACCTGCCTCCCCGCCCTCCCTCGTCCCCCTCCACTTTCACGGCTTCGCGGCCATCCCTTAAAGGGACAGCTCGGCTCCTTTCTCCGCGCCGGCCTCGGGCCCCAGTTACCAGGCGCCCCGCGGGTCACTAGGAGCCAGTTGCTAAGGCTTTGTTGCCTTTCACCAATTGCTACACAGGAAACTTGGCCCTCGGCCCCGGTGGGGGTGGGGGATGTGAGGCGGGGCCAGAAACTTATGAATGAAAAAGATGGGTAGAGGGAAGTGGACGCCTCCGAGGAAGCTGTTGCAGCCTGGCAGGCAGGGATGCTCCGTCTCCACTACCCTTTCTGCATTTGTTAAGTCTTCTTCTTCCACATCAGATTTCTCTTGTCCCTCGTCAAGACCTTTTTCTTCCACTCCGCTCACTCAGTTTCTTCTAAACTCGTGTGTGTGCGCGCACGCCTACACACACACACTGATAAACCTCAGACCTTCTCCATGTCGGGTCATACTGCCAACTATCTTTCCATCCACCCCTCTTCCCACCACGGACGGGATCTGTGTGTCTTTGTAAGCAAATGTCAAGAAAAGCGCTACATCCTAGCTCAGGAATACGTGGACTGATGCTCTCCACGCACTAGACGCTGCTCTCACTTGGGCTTTGTTCTCAAGGGAAAAAAACATTCCCATCCAGTTCTCCAAGTCCCGTCATTTTGGCCACAGGTGTGAGCACAAAATCATCACAGACGCCTAAGGCTCTCGTCTCGGACGGTAGGCTATCCTGGGCGAAGCGGAGAAGAGAGGGAAAGGACCACTTGTCCTCAAGAGAAATAAACAGAAGATACTTTCTTTACTCTCAGCTGGAGTGCTGCAAGGGGTACAAAGGTTCCTCTCCAGGAGGCCCCGGACTTGTTCGGTAACGTTAGGGATCCAGTTTGAACAACTTGAGTGCTGTGCGCCTTGGGGAGGTAATTAGTGGTCAGTCCTTCCCTTACGAAAATGGCGCTACTGAGCGACTCTCAGCAGAGCATGCGCCCTGGCTGGTTTCTTCCTGGACAGGGATCTGTGCAAGCCTTTGGTTCTCCGTTGCTTGTTGACCTCTAGGGAGAGAGGGGGCGCTCGAGCAAAGAGCCAACTGAAGTGGCTTGGAACCCTGCCGTCAGGGAGACAACTCAACTCATGGCTCTTAGGACATTGGCCTGTTCTGCTGGCTTTCCAGAAAGCTGAACAAGCGCCAAACTGTAAGTGGATACTAATTTGATACGCAGAAAAACTATTCACAGCATCTCAGTAATTCTAGCCAAACACATCATTGGTGAGGCAGATAAAAACACACCCTATCCTTACATCCAAAAGTTAATCCCCAAACCTCATACACGGAAAGGAATCACTAAGAACAAGGCCCAACACCTTCATTTCACATACTCACAGAGAGTAGAGGAAAAAGAAAAAGATTTTAAAACTGTCGTCAAAAGTCCTGGAAAGTGGTAATGAGCCTTGAACCTTTTTGAAGTGTGTTACATAGTCTAAAAGCCACGAGGCTTAGAGTTAAGAACAAAGACCCCTCAAACTCATCTTTATTCTCCCAAATCTTGGTGTTGCTATGTTGAACAATTCAAATTATTTTACTAAACAAAATGTAATTGATATTTTTGTACAAAAGATATGGAAAAACAAAGTATGTGGATCTCAACAGGCTTCATTCACCCCTTTGTCTAGAAAGCTAAGTAAACCCAACTCTAAACCCATTTCCAAAGCTGCTGGTTTAAAATCCTTATAGAGAATTTCTCATCTGAATATTATATTTTTAAAAGTGCAGTAAAAACAAAAGTTGGAGCCAGATATGGTGGCTAGTGTTTATTTATAATGACCATAGCCATTTACTGCTCCCACCCTGCAGGGCTGGAACTCAGGTCCTCAGGTTTGGTGGCAAACATCTTTAACCTAACAAACCAACTCGTAGGCCCTTGCTTCTCCCCTCCCGCCGCCCTCCATGTAACAGAGTCCTGACTGTCCTGTAATTAGCTCTGTAGACCAAGCTGACCTGGAATTCACAGAGATCTGTCTGCCTCTGTCCCAAGTATTGGGATTAAAGACCTGCACCACCCCTGGCCCAACCCGGCTGTTCTTTTGGTTTATTGAGATAGGTTTCATATAGTCCCAGGCTGGCCTGGAACTCCATATGTAGTAGACAAGGGTGACAATGAACTCCTGGTCTTCCTTCCAGGAATACAGGCCTACACCACAACATCTAACCATCACGTCATTGTTAATTTCATAAATAACCTCAGGATTATTTACAAAATCACTTTCAGAGGGGTCAGATTTAATTGGATACCCTCATGCTCTTTTCGAAAATGATTTTACATTGCCTTTCATATCATTCTCCTAAGAGATTTTGATCACTAGGAATGAATTGTGACCTAACAAAGGCCTTTAGAATAAGTGAAAATGGGGGCTGAAGAGACGCCTCAGCAGTCAGAGTGCTTTCTGATCTTCCAGAAGACCCAAATTCAATTCCAGTCACCCATGTCGGAGGGCCACAAATGCCTGTCACTATAGCCTCAGGGCATCCAACACTCTTCTGGACAAAACAGCACCCATACACATGTAGCATACACTCACACAGGCATGCACACATGTACATAAGAATAAACTTTTTTTAAAAAAAAAACAATGGCCCTCTGGTAGTGGCTTGTGTCTATAGTCCCAGCGTATGAGAATCTAAGACAAGAGTACTTCATGAGTTGGAGGTCAGCCTGGATTACAGTGTGAGATAAGACCCTATCTCGCCGGGCGGTGGTGTCGCACGCCTTTAATCCCAGCACTCGGGAGGCAGAGGCAGGCGGATCTCTGGGAGTTTGAAGCCAGCCTGGTCTCCAAAGCAAGTTCCAGGAAAGGCGCAAAGCTACACAGAGAAACCCTGTCTTGAAAAACCAAAAAAAAAAAAAAAAAGAAGACCCTGTCTCAAATGAAAATATTATTTTTCCTTAGCATATTTACTATATATCATGATAAAATCCTTTAATTCTATGCTGTGTGTAATATATAGCTTTAAAGGAAAATAAATATCAGTAAAATAGGACCTCTCTAAATCATGTGATGAAAAAATCTGCAAGAAAAATATCCACCAGTGTGCACCCAGCACACATACACACCAAGATTCTGATGAGATCACAAAACCCATTATTGTCTCAGTTATCAGGGGTCAAAGTTCCTACTGTCATAGTTTCACAATAAAGGCATGCCTTTACCGCCCATGGAGGAGGTAGCACCAGAAAAGTTCTTCCCTGTCACCCAACTTAACACAAATGGAAGGAATCAGCTTTCACTTCAAGCGACAGGAAAGAATAACGTATCGCACATGAAGAAACTAATAGGAGATTTACGATGTCACTTCATGTAGAAAAGGAAGATGACGTGTACGTGGATTTAGCAGGTATGGAAAGGAAGAGGAGAGTGGGAACAAAATGTTGATGTTCAACCCTGCATCACTAGCTAGCATACTGTTTAGGCTACCCTGCATTCCATGCAGCGTGCATGAAGAGCTAGAATTTCACCGCTGGGTGCAACTCCAAATTATGCCAACCACCTGCTGGCCAAGTGTTCCCCTCAAGGCTATCCCAAAAATTCCTAGTCACTCTTACACACACAACAGCTCTTCAAAAATGCAAAGCAGCTCTTTGGCTGCCTCTTAGAACTCCACAGATTAAATTCCTCATATCCCTCAACCTTTCCTTCCTTTAGAGGCATCAAGCCTCCTCCCTCCCTTTCTAGTCCAGTCTCTTCACCAACCTGCCCAATTTCTCTGAACTGTGTCCCAGAATGGAGTGCAGGCCAGTACTGAGCGCCTGTGACTAGTGATGGTGCACAGAGGTGGGAAGGAGAAATGTTTTTAAAAAGTGATGTAGGACTCTGGTGGGAACACAAACAATGAAAGCCACTAAAAACCAAGTTCTGTCATCTAGCTGTAAAATAAAAAGGGAAATACCCTTTCGCTGGAAGAGGTCAAGGAAGAATGAACTCAGGATAATCAAAGGCTTGTTGGCTGTGAAATGGACATATTCTGTTTTTTAATTACTAATCATTAGAATATTTCATTAAAGCATACTTGTCCATGGCCGGGCGGTGGTGGCGCACGCCTTTAATCCCAGCACTCGGGAGGCAGAGCCAGGCGGATCTCTGTGAGTTCGAGGCCAGCCCGGGCTACCAAGTGAGTTCCAGGAAAGGCGCAAAGCTACACAGAGAAACCCTGTCTCAAAAAACCAAAAAAAAAAAAAAAGCATACTTGTCCAGTCAGTAGTCATAATATCTAAGAAGGTAAAAGAAAACAGAAGATGACTGCTGTTTACAAATTACTTTTAGATTGTGTATGAAACAAGGCCTCAGAAATTTAAATTTGATATAATTTAAATTGATTGGTTAGGTAATCCCCTGTATGATATGATAACCAACCTAAAGCAGCTTTTAGCAAAACACATAAGCAACGCTGAGAATACCACTCTGCCAAGCCCTTGCCTAGCATTCTGAGGGCCTCCAGTTCAACCCCTAGTACCTCAAAGTAAATAATAAAAACAAAATACATATACAAAAATGTTGTTATAATAGATCTGATATGTGAAAACGTATAAGTAATGTGGTTCGCCATGGCTGGCGAGGTGGTTAAGAGCAAAACTGCTTTTCCAGAGGACCTACATTTGGTTTCTAATGCCCATGTCAGAGGGTTCACAGCCTTTAACCCCAGGTCCAGAGGACCTGACGCCCTCTTCTGGCCTCTGAGGTTACATTCTCATCCTTGACCAATGCAAACCAGTGAAAATGGCTATGGCAGAAGGAAGTCAAGTGCTCAGGGCAATACATCTACTAGTGTTCTGACTATTGGCTCGTTCGCGTTCTCAAGTCAGCCAGCAGCAATGCATTTTTCTAGTTTCATAGTATGTATCTACTCATGTGCAAATACACACACATAACTAAAAATTAAATCTTAAAAAAACAAATACCTGCCCACAAAGAACTTAAGATCTTCTTGTGGCTCAGCCGTGTTCTATATCACAATAATGCCTGTTTAAGAATTCCAAACTGGAATCAAAGAACCATAAGGAATGTGGGAGATCGGTTAGTTCCATTTTCAAATACAGTGTATAAGGTCCAAGGGATTTGGCAGAAACCATATCTGGGAAGAGGGATTGGGGAATGATGGAGGAATGCTAAGGGCTCCTGTCATAGATTTCATGTGTAATGTATCATGTAGTATGGCTCCTCTTGAGTCATACAGACCTCTTCAAATCTCTTACAGAACGTGAACCAGGGGAACATTGCTTCGCACACACACACACACACACACACACCACATGAATAATAAATAAATAAATGTTCTTTTAAAAAGGAAAAACTAGTTTAATGAACATTAGTCTTAACCGTGGTTATTTTCATCTTTGACTAATGCAACCAATAAACATGGTGCCATTTCAAGAAGTACAAGGAAGCTTCCTGGTCAGGTGAATACATTTACTAGTGTGCTAGTTCACATTCTCAAGTCAGCCAATGACAATGCATTTTTTTGCATTTTATAGAATCTATCTACCTATAATTACTTATCACTCACACTTTCATTACAGAAGAAATGTAAAAGTGAAGCCAGATGTAGTGAGTCATGCTTATAAGCCCAGCACCAATCTAAGACTCTAGGATTTGGTGGCGTTCAAAACCAACCTAGGCTACATAGTGAATTCCATACCACCCTGGGCTACTCTAAACAAAATTAACAAATGAATAAATGTTGTAGAGCAATATTTCTCTTAAATATGCAATATAATATTCCCTAAATAATCTCTCACCCAACTCTGACCACCCTACTGGGTTGTCCACCATGCTGGGGACATCACTAGGGAGCTGTATGCTATAATTTGAATCTCACTCCTAAATGAATATTTAACACATCCCTACTGTACTTAACATATTTTTACCAGGAAAATAATAATAATAATCAAGGAAAGAAAAGATAGGCACAGTTGCAGATGTCTGTAAACCCAGTACTTGGAGGGCTAGAGTCAAGAAGATCAAGAGTCCAAGGTCATCTTCAGCTACATAGTGAATTCAAGGCCAGTTTGAACTACCTGAGACCCAGGTCCCATGCTACCTGCCTATGAAATCAATATGGTTATTACTGCAATTTTAAAGAAGAGGAAATGGACTCAAAGTGGCTACTCAACTTGAAAGTGAATTTTTTAAATGAGTAATTTAAGTGTGAAGAGATGAACTTATGGGAATCATCAAGATGTATAAAATAGTGGGAAAATGCTGGGTTTCTAACAGAAACCTGAATTTCAGGCATGTCTTGATGTCCAGTGTGTGCATTGTTTGGGACACATTATTCTCTGCTACTAAACAGGACGTTATAATAATTTCTAATTCATAGTAAGAACTGAATAAGATGTCACACTATATTGCTATAACAAACAGTCGCTAACATTGTTAAAACAAAGACCTAGAAATAGAAGCTTACTTTTAAAATCTAATTTCCATGAGCCTCCTATGATTACATCTATTTGGGTATAGATACTGCTATTTTGTTTACTCCAAACTAAGACCATACGTAAAATGCACACACTTACAGAGACTTTCTTTTTATCATCTGGAGATGATAAAACCACTGGGTGCTGAGGTTACAATGTCTTTCATTTCTTACAGTCTTGACCAGAGGACCTTTCTCTAGGGTATGATCTAGACTAAGGACCCCATTCAGGCATCCTCAGTGCTTTCCTAAATGTCCCCAGTCTGGCTCACTTTGTTTCATTCTGTTCCAGAAGCCTGGGACATAAATGTAGTCTCCCTCGGTTTCCATGGTGATCCTTCATGCACATCGTAATGCTGTATTTTCTGGCACCTTAATTCTATGTAGAAATTCCAAGAGAGATGATATTTCTAATAAACTAACAGGAGACCTTTAATTTCTACTTCTTCAACAAAAAATATTTTTATTATTATTAATTATTATTAATATTAACTGGACAGATTTCTAGTAGCTGCTTTGTCATTGACAACACCTATAATTGTACCAATTCTCATGGATGGAAAAACTTTATATCTTTAGTATGGCCAAGTTTTCCCACGCAAGCTTAGTTTTCAAATTATATGTAAACAATTACTCATAGTTGTTAATAATGGTGTTTTAAATTACATCATCTACATACAAGCAAAATATTTTCTGCTTATTCTAAAACATATTACACATATATCAGGTAAACTTTTTCTGTTTTACTTAGGACAACATCAATGTATGTTTTGTATCTTTGCAATCAAGCAGCAAATATTCACTATATTCTATCATCTGGCACTGTGCTAGATGCTGGGAATGCGCTAGAGAAGAAACCTGAGCTCCTGTTCTTAAAGAATTTACATTCTGGGAAAGACTATGGATGGGTGGGCACTCAGACTCCATATTTGGAGATGGATGAGGTACAGTAAGGACGGAGCAGTTGGAAGCTTTGGTGAGACCAAGTAATACAGAAGAGTGAGTGAAGGGTTTCCCACAGAATGGTCACAAGAGACCGAGAAGCAAAATAGGAGTTAGGCAGGTATATGTCACAAGGTTGCTGGGTGAACAAGTTAGTGTGGGGGATGTGAAGGAAGAGCAAGGAGAGAGTCCTGAGGGAATAATAGGCACTTGGGCTGGGAAGCAATCAGAAGACGGAAGGGTTCTGCTCAGACTCACTGGGCGCTAAGACAATAAAAAGTAGAGGAGAGGAGAGAGGACTCTGGTAAGTTGGGCTCAAACTTCAGACTCGCCCCTGGAGAAATGGCTGAGTGGTTGAGAGGGCACGCTGCTCGTGCAGAGGACCTGAGCTCAGTTTCCAGCATCCACTTTGGGAGGCTCAGAACTGCCTTTAACTCCAACTCCAGAGGGACCCAACGCTTGTGGCCTCCAACAGCTCTTGCTGCCCATACCTCTATACACACACACACACACACACACACACACACACACACACACACACACACACACACACACACACACACACAATTTCTTAAAACTTCAGACCTTATCCAGAGAGCAACAAGCACCACTGTGAACTATATTAGGTGAGAAATTGTCACAGGTAGGAATCTAAAACCCGCCATAGGTCTGCACAGTGAACGTACTAATAAAACGGATTGCGGGTCAATGAAGAATCCTCAGGGAAGGAGTATATATATATATATATATAATAGGTCCACATAACAGTAATATGGACCAGGAGCCTTTGAAAAGAATCATTTGTGTTTTTTTTCTTGTCTCTAGCCATCCAGACAAGAGAACCTGACCAGTTTTCACAGAATGGAAGTAAATGCATAACAAGAAAAGTTCTCTGAGATTCCTGAACTCCATTTTCTTTTGTTTCTTTTTTTTTCTTTTCTTTTGTTTCTTTCTTTCTTTTTTTTTTTTTTTCTAGAAAGGGTTTCTCTGTATTCTGTACACTGTCTCACTGGCTGGAACTCCCTCTGTAGAGCAGGCTGGGCTTGAACTCAGAGATCTGTCTGTCTCTGCCTCCCAAGTGCTGGGATTAAAGGTGTGCACTACCATGCCCAGCATCTGAACTTTCATTTTCATAAACAGAGAAATGTAGACATGATAGAATATATTTCTTCTAAACATTGACTGCTTTAGTAAAAAGTAAATATTTAAAAACAGAATATACAAGAATTACTATTTGTTAAAATATTTCACTAACAATAGTATGGGATGTATGAGAAACTGATTTCTAAAAACTGCCCAGAATGGCCAGAGAGTCTGTCTCCAAATAAATAACTCTTAAAATAAAGAAACTTCCAGGAGCTGAAGAGATGGCTCAGTCATTAAGAATATATAGTGCTCTTGTAGAGGACCAGAACCCAGTTCCCAGTTCCTACATTCAGAAGCCCACAACTATAACTCCAACTCAAGGAAGATCCAATGCCTCTGGCCTCTGTGGATGCTGGTACTCGTGTGCACATCCCCACACTACACATAATGAAAAATAATAAAAAATAAGTCTCTATTTATTTATTTATTTTTGGTTTTTCGAGACAGAGTTTCTCCTTGTAATTTTGGTGCCTGTCCTGGATCTCGCTCTGTAGGCCAGGCTGGCCTTGAACTCACAGAGATCCGCCTGGCTCTGCCTCCTGAATGCTGGGATTAAAGGTGTGCGATACTGCCCCCTGACAAAATAAGTCTTTTTTTTTAAAAAAAAAAAAAAAAAAAAAAACAATGTAGAAACAACAGGTTAACATAGGAAGCATGCTTACTCAGCTTCCTAGGCTCCCGAGAGGCTTTGTTTGGGGGGAAGCTCTGTACTGTATGTGCTCTGAATTCCACCCTCACACCCCCATCTATTCATGAGAGAAGAAAGGCATTCAGCGGCTGCAGACATAGCTCCTATGTCTTTGTTTAATGAAGCCTCCCTTGGTAGTCTTGACAGTGTGCCTACTCAGGTTGTCCCAGAGGATTTGCTTCACCCTTCCCTCCATACGTGCTTCTCAATGTGATTTTAGTTCTAGAAGCATCTTTTTCTTTTTCTTTTTTTCTTTTTTTGTCTTGCTGTGCTTTGAACCCAAAACTTGATCCATGCAGAAAGGCAAGCACTCTTCCACTGTTCTGCATCTGCAGTCCTCTGGAAGCCTCATTGTAGTAAATATTACCAACTGCCTACTGTAGTGCCATATCCACAGAGTAGAGTATGACAAAACTCCAGACCCAGCCCTCTCCTAACACTTGAACTGCTGCAGACCTCTGCTTATCCTGCCTCTCCACGCTTCCCCCTCCAGAATTCTCCAGCTCTGTGCATACTTTATTCATCCAGTTGCTCAAGACAATTCTAAGCTACGAATCCTCTACAGCCAGTTACTTGATGTGACTTTCCTGCTCTGTCTTCAGAATGCATCCTGAATCCTTCAATGTCTGTCTCCAGGGCAACATCACATCTTCCCCGAGATCTCAGCAGAGCCACAACTGTGCTTTACAAGCTTAGCCTTGTGTTTGTATCTTTAGGACCCAAAGACTGGTCCAGTTGGAAGCTTTCCCTGTTGTATTCTTCCAGTGTAGGCCAAGTGGGTTTTAACTGGAGTCAGCTTTCCCCTTCGGGATGCTGTGAAGTTCGCCAGATGTCTACCTGCCTCACCTACCTTGTCCCACTCGCTCTTCCCCCAACTCTGGACGTCAGTGCCTTATGAGCCATGCTCGGTTGCTTGGCTGGGACATAGCTTCCTGTGGTTGGGCCAGGGAAGTGCTGGTGAGGCTGGAAACAAGAACCAGACTGCAAATGACCTAATGCATCACTCAAAAGGAGTCAGCCCTTGATGCTTCCAGCAATGGTAGTCAGAGAAAGCTTCTAGAGACTGGAAACTATATAACCAGATGGCAATTGATGGTGCAGTATCCATAAAACAGTAAAGATTCTTAGTAACAGATAAGAATCCTGTGAAAGGCATGAATAGAAACAACTAGGTATTGTAGCATAAAGTCTAAATTTATAGTAATCCCCACACATCTTCCCTCCTCCTCCTCCTTCTTTCCTCCTTCTTTCCTTCTTCTCTCCCTCTCTGTCCCTCTGTCTACTGTCTCTGTCTCTGTCTCTGTCTCTCTCTCTCTCTCTCTCTCTCTCTCTCTCTCTCTCTCTCTCTCTCTCTGTGTGTGTGTGTGTGTGTGTGTGTGT